CGGGTAACAATGCGTGCGCCCTCTGCCCGCTCGCAGGCGGAGGTGCCCCTGTGCACTCCGCGCACGTGCAGGTGCCAACCGGGACTGGGCACCGCGCTGCGCGCGCGACGGGGCGCGCCTCCGCCGAACTGCAAACCATGCGCTGCAATCGCATGCGGAAAGGGTGGGCCAGGCCTCCATCGGCCTCAGCCGCATTCACAAGTAAGTGGAGCAGACCTCCATCGGTCCCAGACACATTCGGGAAAAGGTAATGTAGACCTCCAGCGGTCTCAACCACCATCTGGATAAAGAATGGCAGACCCCCAGCGGTCTCAACCAATGCACGAATAGGTGGAGCAGACCTCCAGCGGTCTCAGCCACATTGGAAGTAGGCGGAGCAGGCCTCCAGCGGTCACAGCCACATTCTAGAGAAGACAGAAAACACCTCAAGACGCCCAGCCACAGTCGAATATCGGGCCTCCATCGGTCTCAACCACATCCACTGCCGAGCGCCTCGGCCACGTCCATTGGCCACGTCAGCTGTGCCTCGAGGTATTCCGTCCACTCCTGCAGCTCCTCTTCCATGTAGCCTGGCGGCGCGCTGCCGCGAAGGTGCTTGGCCTCGCCGGGGTTCGTCAGGTGCATGATCATCTTGGCTGCTTCTTCCTTCGCGGCCTTGGTCGACCTGCATGCTCGCGCCAGCTGCTCCGCGTCCTCGATTTTCTCGCACGCGTTGAAGTCGTCCTTGAGTTTCTTGAGGTTTTCCTGGCTCTGACCTCCCACAGCGGGCGTCTCCGCGGCCGCGTCCAACAAGGCGCCGAAGATGGGAACGCGGGGTGGCCCCAGAGGGGTGAGGTCGCCCTGAACTTCCTCCTCCTGCCTGTGCTCGCCGACTCTCTTCGCGAAAGCCTCCTGCTCCCGCTGCATCGCGACCGTGAAAGCGTTGTTTTCGGGGATAAAGAATGAATCCAGAATCGCGCCCTCTATCGCCCTGATCTTCTGGATGTTGTTGAGTAGCATCTTGAACATCAGCATGAGCAGTTGCATTAAGCCCTGGTCCTTCACATGCATGGTCTTACCGTTCTGCCCCCCTTTGTTGCGCCTCTTGCCTCCGCGTCGCGTCCGCTGCGCAGGGCCCCCCCCGCTGCGCGCTTCCCGCCTTCCGCGATTCCTGAGCCAGGAACTCCAGACGCTGGCCAGGACCCCTGCTGGGGGCGCCAACTCGCCCTCGTCGGAGACACTCGCAGAGCTGAAGAAAATGGCTCTGGGTCTGGGCGCCCTCGGCGTGGGAGAAGTCGCTGTAGCTCGCGCAAGTCGAGGGCGAAAGGGTACAGGCCGGAGGTCTTGCACAGCCCGCGCCTTGGCCGTAGGATATGCGGGCACATGCGTAAGTAGATGTCGCCGTAACTCTTCGCTTGAACCAAATGCAAACTTCGCAGTGTTCAGGCTGCCTGTGCGCTTGCTGCTCTCTGTTCTGCTCGCTCAGCTTCGTGCCGTAGGTGCTCGTGCTGAGGGGGCTGCTGATGAGGCTCGCCAATGTCCTCGGTTTTCGGCGCTGTCCTGATCGGCTCCAGGCCCCTTTCCCCCCCAACACATACCGTTTCGATCGGATCCGATGCGGCGCCGAGGGGCGACGATGAGGGAGGACATGGGATTCGGCAGATCGGGCACTCGGGCTTGTCTGGCGGTCTGTGCTGCCAAGCCTGCGCCGTGTCGCCCGCGCGCAACGGCGCGCGATCCAACTCCTCAATGCGTGCCGAGACCAGTGGTCTCGGCTTCGAAAGACAGTCTCGCACTTCATGCATTCGTTGTCCACGGCCAGCAAGGGTAGAATACTGCGCATCTGGTGGTTCGGCCCCTTGCTGTGGAAGGTTACGCCACGTTTCGACCCGTCCTCCAAGACGATTTCGCACGCGTGCATCATGGCGTCCCCAGCCCCTTGCGATCTCGTGCTCACGCGGAAGAAACTGCTCCATGGGCGTGCCGCGGGGGCGCCGTAGCTTCGGAACAAGAAGGCGGCTCCGAGCGCACTTGGGTCCAAGGCTGCACACATACCTCGCAACTCCTCATCCTCGAGCGAGCGACGAATACCCCGAGGATTCCACATCGCTTTCAGCTCGGTAGCCAAGTCCATACCCAAGAGAACGTCGATGTCGTCGGAGAGCTGCTCCGCCCAAGGGTGGATGCCGGCTTTGCGGTTTATCACGCCGTCCTCGTCCAACATGGGTATGGTGTGGTCGGCCTTTCCTTCCACCCCCAGTGTGCCGAAGAACTCAGCTATAAAGTGAAGGTGTTGGGGTAACTCGCATAGCATGTCACGCCACCAGCACAGACGTCGAACAGTGAGCTCGAGAGCAACGGAGTGAATCGCCAATGTCTCCAAACATTAAGGGTGGGCCGTGGTCGATGGACGCCGTGTAGATTGTGTGGACCCGACCCTCAATCATCGACCACAGCTTGCTAATGAGGCTGTGGTCGAGTGCCTGGTAGTCTGCCTGCGTGTATAAGTAGCTCTCGCCTCCGCAAGTGGCCGCGCTGTGGGCGCAGCCTCAAAATAGTAGCCGCCGTGGTCGCCATCCCGCTCTCGAATGCCAAATGCTACGGAGTTGGTTCCAAGCCCTGTTGGCTGCCATGATACGTTCGCGTCGTTCGGCAAAGTTGGAACCAGTGGGTGAGAACATACCACCAAGGTGCTTCAACTCAAGAATCAACTGATGCTGATGATGATGATGATCAAGATGATGATGAGAACGAGAGTGCTCATTCTGCTGCTGATGATGGTGGTGATGATGAGGCTGATGCTGATGCCGATGCGGATAATGGTGCTGGTGGTGCTGATGATGATGCTGATGATGATGGTGATGGTGATGCTGATGATGATGATGCGATGATGGTTCGGACCATTATGATGATGCGTGTGGGTGTTCTTGTTCCGGCGCTGGGGGTCCAGAGAAAACCAAAACCTCAGTTACAATGTGGAGCAAACACAAGGCCCTGCTGTTTCCAAGGCCCATTGATTTGGAGGTCGGAAAGGGGTGTGGTATAAAGGGGTGCGGTGTCACTGCTGAAAATAGCGATGTTATCTACGATAGCCGCAAGCGCGATGCACCCCGATTTCAACAGCGACGGTTTCGCATCGATCGCTTCAAACAAAGTCTATATAATAATTCCAATTTCCCAAGCGGCCGCCATCCAATGTGAACGGCGATAAAAAAACAAGCCCAATCCATGACGCCGTATCGCGGGGCACGCGATTCCGGAGATTCTGGAATTTCTGGAATTCACTTCTGTGATTCTGGAATGTCTGGAACGTCGTTTCGGAATTTCTGGAATTATGTTTCGCTTTGAAAGAATACTATTCCTAAATCCTGGAATTTCTGGAACTACGTTTTGGACGATACTGAAATTCCGGAATGGCGCTTTTCGCGATTCGGAATTTCTGGAATTTCGTGCTTGGTGATCGGGCGTCTGCGAACAGGTGCAGCGTTGTCGTTCGCATAAGTCAGCGGTCGTTTGGGGAAGTTGGAATCAAGAGCTCTGACGTTGCTGACGTTGCTTGAAGCGGTCCGCGTCAAGCCAACGTTGTTGGAATGTGGATGCAACGCACTTGCGGCTATCGTAGATAACGTCGCCATTTTCAGCATTGGCACCGCACCCCTTTATACCACACCCTTTGCGACATCCAGAACTGTGGTTGCTTGCATGGGTCTCGGTCCAGTCGGATTTCGCCAAGATGTAGTTCCCATCCCGCAGACCTAGCGTGCCCCAGGGTTCCCTTCTGAACCTGTTCGTCGCCATATGGGCTCGCGGTCGAGCCCATCCGGCGGACGAACGAGCTGTACTCCCTCGACCCTGTCGGAACTGAGACTGTTCGACTGCCCATTCGGCGGCCGAACTGGCTCAGACGCCGAGCGGGCTCAGGAGGAGACCACGGGGTGATGATTTGATGAGTGAGCGTTGACAATTCGCCACGCGTGTCCTCGTTGCAGAGAGAGGAGGGGGAGGACGAGGAGAAGGAGGAGGAGCAGGAGGAGGCGGAGGAGGAGGAGGAGGCGAGGAGGAGGAGGAGGAGGAGGAGGAGGAGGCAGGAGGAAAACGTAACATTGCCCTCATGCGAATTCCTCGCTGGCTCTGCTTGTCTCTGTGCCTCTCCGCGCCGCGTCGTTAGTAACATCTCTCCGCCTGCCTTATGGCTCGATCTCCTCTTGCTCCTCCACGTTCTCGCTCCGCTAATGTCCATCCTTTTCCTCCTCATTCGCCTTCTCCTCCTTCCCCTCCTCTGATGCTGTGCTTCCTCTTAGTGTGCGTCCTGCACTTGTCGCTATTTTTGTTGTGGTTGTGTCGCTGCAACAATGTCCATAACCAAAGCCGCAACGTGCCGTACTTATTCCTCAACATATGTTGCATGGTGTTCGGCCCTCCCTGCGTTGCCTCATCTGTCTCTCCTTCTCGCGGTGCAAGGCCTCTTCGAACTCCACCTAATCTTGCGATTGCCGCGATGTCAACCGACAGTCGTCAAGCACAGCGCATGGTTTTCAACTCAGCGTTTATCTGGGTAAGCAGGCCTTAGTCACTCTTATCTCATCCATCGCTTTTTCGGCGGCAGCGGCAGCGGCAGAAACCATGTCCGCCTCCTCCTGCCTCCTCCTTCTTCTGCCTTTTCCGCTCCTCCTCCTCCTTCTCCTCCCCTCTCGTCGTCCTCCTCTTCCAGACCCATGTGCCTCCTCCTCCCCTAGCTCGTCGTCCCCACATTCCTCCCCTGTGTCTTCCGGCTCCTCCTCCTCCTCCTCCTCCTCCGCCTCCCCATCCTCCTCGTCCTACTCCCTGTCCTCCTCCTTTCTCCTTCTCCGCCTCCAGGTGTTCCCTATCTCCCGTCCTCCTCCTCCTCCTCCTCCTCCTTCCTCCCTCCTTCCTCTCTGTCCTGCTCCTCCTCTCCTCCTCTTTCGCCGCCTCTCCCCGTCATCGCCTGGCTTCACGAGGGGCGCGGAATCATACGTCGGTTGGAGGGCCGCGCCCTGCGCCTGCGCCACGTATGGCGTCACGACGCCAATCTCAGTGATCTCCAGCTCCCGCTGAAAGAAGACATCCTTGCAGACAACGAGCAAACGATCGACGACATATTCGATTTGCACAGTTTTTGTCGCCGAGTCCCACATAATATATACTCTTGTAGATCTACGAAACATTTTACGCACTTGTCGTACATTCGACGAACAACCTATCTCGCAGTCAATCAATTCGGTACAAGCCCCCCATGACCAAACACATCCCTAACCTAACTTGACCCAACCCCTGTCGACACTGCGCGAAAGTTAACCTGACCCATTACAGCTAGCGTAGCGAATGGCTCGGCGACGCCAATTTGTCACGCGCGCGCTGTAGCAAATGATGCGCCAGACCGGAGTGGCATGCCAACATGCAATGCACAATTGCCAACGGTATCAATGATACACCCCGTCGGCTCCAATAAGAATCTGGCCAACGCTGAACCGAGAACAGCTTCAGCAATCTCCGATGTGGCCGGCGATGAGGCGATATCAACATTCTCAATCATAGATGTGGCTGGCGCTGAAGCGACACTTTGATTCGCAATCGTGGATGTGGCCAGCGCTGAGGCGAGAAGAGCTTTCGCAATCGTGGATGTGGTCTGCGCTGAGACGAGGGCAACGTTCGCAATCATGGATATGGCAGATGCTGAAGCGAAACCAACATTCGCAATCATGTGTGTGGCACGCGCTGAAGCGACAGCAACCGTCGTAGTCGTGGATGCGGCTGGCTTTGTGGCGAAAGTGACGTTCGCCTGCGCTGCAGCGGAACCAACATTCGCAATCATGAATGTGGCCAGGGCTGATACCAACAAGGCAGTCACAATAGTGGATGAGGCTGACGGTACAGCGAGAACAACGCTCGCAATCGCGTGCAACATTTTCCATTGCACGCGCGCGCTGGCTCTGTCGCAACAAACAACACTGCAGGGACGAACACAACCAGAAAGAGCAACACCATGCGCAGCAGCAACAACAACGCAGCCACAAGCAGTAGCGCAACCAGCACCAGCGACACAAACATTACCTCGTTGACCAGCACGACGGCAAACAATACCACCGCGCGCACCAGCATCAGCGATTCTATAAAAAAACAATAACACGACAACGACGGGACGCACCAACACCATCACGCGCAGCAACAGCATGACCAACGCGACCATGACCAGCCGCGCAAGCAACGCAACAACATAACCTTTTTGACCAGCACGACGGCAAGCAGCAACACGACGCGCACCATCAGCAGCGACAGTAGCAGCACAAATGTGGCGACCACGACGGGAAGCAACAGCACCACGCGACGTAGCAGACGTGCTGCTAGCAGCACCGCTACGACCCCAACGACACCAACCAACCAGTGACACCAAGCGCAGTAGCACCAGCGCCACCAGCAGCACCACTGTGACGAGCACGACGGGGAGCAGCAGCACGACGCGAAGCAGCACCTGCGCCGCGAGCAACGCCACTGTAACCAGCACGACGTGAAGAAACGAAACCACGCGCAGTAGCAACAGAAACGCAACTGGCAGTCCCATTCGAATCAACACGACGGGAACCAGTAGCGACAGCCGATTTGCGCTGGACTGCGCGAACACCCCCGCGTCCCAGCTGGCAAAAGAACGCAGAAGTCCCAGAGTGTTGGTTTGCTCGCGCGCCAGTAAGGAACTTAAACTTATGTCGCACCGCCGCGAGACAGGTCAACTGTAACATGCTGATGAAACTGGTACTGCGATGATGACTGGAGTCAATACGAGAGGAGCACTTCAAATACTTTGTACATGCGGCTCGCTGAAACTAATGCCGCGAAGCTACCATCTGTTGTGTTACGGCTGAACGCTTCCAAATCGGAATACATGTTGGTCAAGCAGTGTTGCCCACCATGCCCACTGTCACATTAACATTCGACACCCGCCCCCTGCTAAACACGAGCAGCGCTTCAGTGGAAGATTTTGCGCTGAATCTTCATTTCAATTTTTGGAAACGAGACGCAGCTTTCAGACGACTTAACCAACTCCAGGTGTCCTAATTGCTGAGAGTCGCCTCTGTGCTACGATCCACTCAGGTTAAACCTGTGCTTCTGACTCGCTCTTTTCCCGCACTCCGCTTCTCAACCAAGCCTTGGCGCGCAGGCACCACCAGGCGACGCACTTGGACTGGGAGGGGGCGGCGGGTCGGGGGCCAGCGGGGAGGTCAGTTCCCGCACTCCAGCGCAGAGCGTCCCCGGGGGAGCGCCCCAGGGCAAAGCCCACAGCCTGTCGAGCGTCCGCTGCCCACCCCTCGCACCGCAACCCCCGCGCCCTGGCGGAGATGCGCACGACGACCCGCAACGCGTCGGACGTGCAGAAGGAGCACGAGCGAAACGATCAGCTCCACTGTGACCAGCCCGACAGGAAGCAACACCACTACCAGCAGCAGCACCACCAGCGCCATCAGCAGCACCATTGCGAGTAGCAAGACAAAATCTACCACCATTACGCGCATCGCCAGTGTCACCAGCAGTGCCCCTGCGCGGAGGACTGCTGGAAGCAGAAGCACCATGCGCAGCAGCATCAGCACAGCCAGCAGCAGTCCGCTCGCACGAGCCCAACCAGCAATACCTCTGTGACCAACACGACAGCAATCAGCAGCACCACACGCAGCACCAGCAGCGTCACCAGCAACACCACCGTGACGCGCACCGCGGAAAACAACATCATGACACGCAGAACCACCACCGCAAGCCGCAGCACCATACATTCAAGCAGCAGCAGCAGCAGCAGCAGCAGCAGCAGCAGCAGCAGCAGCAGCAGCACCGCGCGACACGCGGACGCAGCAACACGACATGCAGCAACACAAAGCACCACCACCACCACCACCACCACCACCACCACCACCACTTTGACCAGCACAACAGGGAACCAGTAGTACCACGCGCACCAGCTCTAGCGCAACGAACATAACCATTGTGACGAACTCTGCAGCAGCATCGACGCCACCACCAGCAGTTGTTCGAGCAGCAACAGCGAGACCTGTAGTAGCTCTGCGGTCAGCACGGCAGCAAGCAGCACAACCACGCACACCAGTACTCGCAGCACTGGCAGCACCAGTATGAAGATCGCAGCGGGGATCATAAATACCACGCGAAGCAGCATTAACGCCACCAAAACCACCACTGTAACGAGCACGACAGCGACAGTAAGCATTGGCATCAAGCGCAGCAACACCAACGCCACCAGCAGCACCTCTGCGACGAGCACGACGGGAAGCCGCAGCGCCAAGCGAAGCAGCACCAGCGCAACCAGCAGTGGCAGTTTGAGCCGCACGGCAGGAAGCAGCAGCGCTACGCGCATCAGCGCAAGCGCAACGAGCAGCACCACTGTGACGAGCATGACAAGATCCAGCAGCGATGCGCACAGCAGCACCCGCGCCACCATAAACATACCTGTGACCGACACGACGGGAACAGCACCACCGCGCGAAGCGACACAAACGCTACACCGACAGCTTACTATAACGAACACGACGGGAACCGCCAATGCCCGGCGATTCGCGCTGGATTGCACGAGCCCCCCCCCCCCCCTCTGGCCAGACTGACAGGGGAGGAGGCGCTCCCGTACTCCAGCGCAAAACGTCACGGCCCAGATCGTTCGATTTTGCGCTGGGCACTGGGGAGCGCCCCAAAGAAGAGACGCGCAGTCCGTCCACGCGAAGCTTGGCTGGGAGCCGGTGCGAACCCCACTCGGGAGCAACTGCTGTTCGGCCCAAGCCCGAGGGACAATCGCTCTTAGCGGAAAGGGTTGCGCCAGCCGGTGCCTATTATAACAGTGCGACCCAGGAGCGCGCCAGGGCGAGCGCGAGGACGGTGTGGTGGCTCGTTGTTGGCCCGCCGTCAGCGCCCGCCGTCGTGTCAAGGGGGGATGCAGCAGTCGCCACGCTGCCAGCGTCGCCAGTACACGCTGTGGCGGCTGCGGGACGCCACGCGTCGGGCGTGCAGCAAGAGCAGCGTGAGCGCAACAAGTAATTTCACTGTGACGCGCACGACAGGAAACATTAGCACCACTCGCAGCAGCATCAGCGCCGCCAGCACTGCCCGTGTGAGTAGCGCGAGAGAAACTAGCACCACTACGCGCAGCAGCACCAGCACCCCCGCAGCACCACCAGCTAAATCACGAACGCCACCATCAACAGAGCAATAATGTGACCAGCACTGGCGCCACTAGTAGCACCTCTGTGACCATCACGACAGGCAAGTAGCATCACCTCGCGCAGCAGTATCAGCGCAACAGCACGACAAGAAGCATCACCACCACGCGCACCAACACTAGCGCAACTAGCGGCACCAGCCTGACTAGCACAACGGTAACCAGCAGCACAAGCGTAACACACAGTACCATTGTGACCAGCAGGAAGGGACAAAAATAGTACCAAGCATAGCAGCACGACCGCCACAAGCAGCACCAGAGTGACCAGCAGGACGGGAAGCAGCAGCACCCCGCGCAGCACTACCGACGCCACCACCATACTCACTGTGACCAGCAAAAGGGGACACAGCAACACTACGCGCGCCAACACAAGCGCACCAAGCAGTACCAGTGTGAGGAACATCACCAAGGGCAGCAACACTACGCAAAGCAGCCGCACCAACGCCTCCAGCGGCACCAGTGCGACCAAGACGAAGGAAAGCCACAGCACAACGAGCTGTACTGCCAGCACAACCAGCAGCACCACCGCGACAAGCCCGACGAGAAACACCAACACTACGCGCACCAACACAATCTCATGTATGAATGCCAGCGTGAAGAGAGCATCACTGGAAGCAACACCACTGTGACCAGCACGACGGAAAGCAACAACACCATGCGCAGCACAGCTAGCGGCGTCGGAAACACCAGTGTGAACAGCACTACGATAACCAATTGCACAACGCGGAGAAACCCAAGCGGCACCTTATCGCCAAGCTGGCCATGGATGGGACCCATCCAGAAGCTTGCGCAGTCCACAGGCCTGTGAGGCTTCATCTTCCCCTGTGGCGAGAAAGGTGTTCGCAATCAAGATGTGGTGGGCGACCCAGCGATCGTACAATCTATAATCAAAGTGGGCACGGCATTCCCAATCAAGGGTGCGGCCGGCGCCGAAGAGGCGATAATAGCATTCGATATCATGTATCCGACAGGCGCCAGGCGAGAGCAGCAATCCGAATCGAGACCGCTCGGTTTTGAGCGGATTTGCGCTGGGGCATCTAGGCGAAACCGCAATTTTCACTCAGAGATGTGGCCGGCGCCACAGCGAGAATGACATGCTCAATGAAGAATGTCGCCGGCGCCTGGGCGACAGCATTATTGTTAATCAGAGAGGTGGCCGGCGCCAAGGCTTAGGTCGGCATGTCCCCCTACATGCGGATTTGGGCGAACAAATAAAATAGAAATAATCAAATAATGCCCCAACATATTCAACAAACAATAAAACAAATCGTCCCCATAATATGTTTTGACTATTTTTGGATATGCCTCCTGTCGAGGGGCAGGCCCGACATAAGCCCAGTCGCGAACGAAACGCACAATGAAGGATGTCCCCAGCGCCTAGGCGACAGCAACATTGCCAATCACACATGTGACCCACGCACAGGCATGTACGACATGCTCAATGAAGAATGTCGGTGGCGCCTAGGCGACGGCAACGCTCTCAATCACAGATGTGGCTGGCGCCAAAGCGAGGACGACATGCTGCATGAAGGATGACCCTGGCGCCTGGGCAACAACACAATTGTCAATCAGAGATGTGGCCGGCGCCAAGGCGAGAACAGCACGTTCAATGAAGGATGTCGCTGGCGCCAAGACAACAACAACATGTTTCATCAGAGGTGTGGCTGGCACCACGGCGAGAACGACACGCTCAATGAAGGATGTCGCGGGCGCCTAGGCGGCAGCAACATTTTCAGTCAGACAGGTGGCCCGCGTACAGGTGAGAACGGCATGCGCTATGAAGGGTGTCGCCGGCGCCTTGGCGACTGCAACATTAGCAATCAGACATGTAGCCCACGCACAGGCGAGAACGACATGCTCAATGAAGGATGTCGCTGGCGTCTAGCCACAGCATCATTTCGAGACAAGCATTTTCGCCAGGATGCAAGTGTCACGCCAATTCCGCGCTGGTCACCGAGATCTAGGTGACGTTTGGTGGGTCGTCCACGTTAGCGGGGGGTTTTAGTCGATCCCCTACTCGAAAAGAAGAGGGACAGGGGGAGGATGGAGGGGAAGGTGGGAAGAAGAGGTGATGAGCGTGGGCGAGGCTGAGGTGGGCGAGGGGGAAAAGGGGGCGAAGGGAAGGGAAGTACTAGCAGCGTGGATCTGTACGACATGCGGGGGGGAAGAGGAGAGGGAAATCGAGACTGCGGAGGACGAGAAACAGTATGGCAAGGAGCTGCGCAGACTCCAAGCGTGACGTGTGAAGACGTCCGCGCAACACATCCTGGACGATCCGGGTGATGAGCTCAGCCTCCCCGGGGTTGAACTTCGACTCGCCCTCTGAAACCTGGAACGGCGCCGGGGGAGGTTCGTGGCACACGTAACAAAGCCCGACAGATGACTGGTGAGTAGCCTTGAGAGTCATGGCGTGGAATGCAGGGGCACTGGTAGCGAAAGGTGGCTGGCGGGCAATCTTGTCTTTGTTCGGAGAAGCGCGGGGAGGGATTGGGGGGCCGCATGTCCAAACGCCACAGCGACAAGAGAAATAGGACGCGGGTGAGGAACGGACGGATCTGCTAATGGGGAGCGTGCGGAGTAAGATGAGCAGGATGAGATTGAGGAGGCCATACAGGACTAGGGGCAGGAGCAGGAAAGAGTAGCACGATGAGGGTGAGGAGGAGGAGGAGGAGGAGCGCAAGGGACGGGAGAGAGGGTGAGTGAGGAGGGATCAGAGGACGATGAAGCAGGAGGAGGGGCGGCAGGAGGAGGCGGATGGGGCAAGGGGAGGATGGGGCGGCGGGAGGAGGCGGAGGGAAACACGACCACGAGGAGGCAGAGGAGCAGCTCTGGGGAGGATCGGCCGCGAGAGAGCACGCCGAGAGTGCCGAGTGCGCGCCGGGGCCTTCGGCTCCGGCGAGGGAGGCGCGCCGAAAAAACAAAAGCGCGCCGCCGGCCGCCGAGAGAGCGGGGCCCTGCGCCCTCGCCCCGTGCGGCTGCGCGGGAGGGGGAAGGGGCGGGGAGAGGGGGAGCGAGGAGGGGGAGGAGGAGGAGGAGGAGGAGGAGGAGGAGGAGGAGGAGGAGGAGGAGGAGGAGGAGGAGGAGGGGGCGGGGTGGAAGGGGCGAGGAGTGGAGGGGAGTGAGGCAGAGGAGATGGATGGGGGGGAGGGGGACCTTGGGGAGGAGGGGTCTCGAGCCTCGGTCGGGCCCCAACGGCGTGGGAGGGGAGGGGGGGGAGGGACATCGTGCCTCGGGGGCGCCTCCACTCCGTCAGTGGGCGCAGTTCCCTGAAGTCGCCATGATGGATAGCACAGTGGCCGCAAGCGCCCATCGCGGTTGGCACTCAAGAGCAGGGCAATCGCTGAGATGGGGATGATGAGGAGGGTGGTGGCGAGGGAGGTGGGGAGGGTGATCACGAAGAAGACAAGGATGGAGAGCCTGATCGGGGGCGACACTGCAAGCGGGTCGGGGGCGGCCTCGTCTAGGGCGGCGCACCCCTGTCTAGAGGAAGAACAAAACCAGATAACATTAACTTTCGACGGTCCGCGCGGATTTCTTGGATCTACGCTGGGCCCTCCTCCCTGGCGCGCGGAGCGCGCCAGGGGCAACGCCAGAGGCGCCGCCAGGCGGGCACAGCGCTGATCCAAGAAATCCGAGCGGACCGCCAAACTGTTATGCTTATGCTGCCTATTATCATTCTTATTATTCGCCTTATTCTTCTTCTTCTCCTTTTGACGCTCTGGATACATCCCTGCCGATACCCTCTTATCCCGCCCTGCTCCTCCTGCAACCGCACAGTGACCACACGCATCTGGGTCAAGAGCACGAGCTTCTTCGCCGACGGCCCAATGCTTAGGTCGGGCATGTCCTCCTACAGGCGGATTTTGAAAACAAAACAATGATTACAATGATTAGCCAAACAGTATTCAAAGCCAGTTTTTTCCAATACAAAGCAAGCGAAATCGTCGCCAGTCGATTTTTGACACTATTCCTGCAATTCCTACTGCAGAGGGGCATGCCCGATTTAACCCAAGGCCCCCGAATGAGGAGGATGCCAAGATGGGTCGTCCAAGCGCGAGGGACCCACGGGAACCCGCCAAAGCTGAGGACGTTGTGAACCTAGGGGCCTCCTGACTTGCCATCGCTCGGACGTCCATTCCCCGTACATTCTTCGGTTTCGTGCGTGGTTTTCTGGCCAGATGATCCAGGATGCTCCTCGATGGTCCTCGCCGAGAAAAACATGCCCACGCCCGAGCGATGCCAAGCCTAACTGGGGTGGAGTGGCGGAGGCGGAGGCGGCGACAAAAGAAGCATACGAGGAGGCGGCGGAGGCCGATGCGGATGTGACAGGGGCTGACGGGCGGCGGCGAATGAGAAGGGGGCGCAGGCGGAGGCAGACGCCGAGCTCGAGCGAACGAGAAGGGTGGCAGGCGGGCCAAACTGGAAAGAAAGGGGAGGATCAGAAACAGGTCACGGAGGAGAGTGGTTCTCGGGCCATAACTCGGGCCTTCGGCGGACGTTTGGGACGATCGGGCATCCCCAGAACGCTCTCGGCGAGGCCCAGGTGCTCGGGAGAGAGCATCCCTTGGCGAGGAGATATCCAAGGGCCAACACAAACTTCCAAAAACCTGAAGACAGGTGAGGCGGAGGACGTCTAGGGGGAGGAGTCGCCTCACCAGCAGCAGCGGCACAACCTCGCGTCGCAGCCCACACCGGAAGGGAGCATCTGTGCTGGTGAATTGCCGATCACCGCCGCCCATCATCGCGCTCCCAGGGAGGGGAAAAGAGAAGGACGGAAGGAAGTGTGATGATAATGGATGAGGATCCCCTCCTCCCCCTCCCCCTCCTCCTTCATTCTCCTCCCTGGTTGCAACCACCGCTGGCCCCATCCGTACCCTCCCCTCCTCGCTGGGCCTTGAACGCCGCTGCTGGCGCTCGGGGCCGAGGCAGGTGCGCGGACGAGGGGGAAAGCGGAAAGCCAGGGGGGCGTGCTGAAGCGAGGAGGCGGGGCCACGACATCCTGGGGGGACACCGTGGCCCCAGCCATGAGATTCCCCTTGGGACGCCCCCGCGAGGCAGGCAGAGGGCGCGGCGCTGCGCGCCAGTCGGCCGCCCACCCACTGCGCGCCGGCGGCGCGCGGAGCGGGGCAGGGCAGGGCCGGGGGGGTGCCTTCTGGGAGGGAGGAGGAGGAGGAGGAGGAGGAGGAGGAGGAGGAGGAGGAGGAGGAGGAGGAGGAGGAGGAGGAGGAGGAGGAGGAGGAGGAGGAGGAGGAGGAGGAGGAGGAGGAGGAGGAGGAGGAGGAGGAGGAGGAGGAGGAGGAGGAGGAGGAGGAGGAGGAGGGCGGGGGCCTCCGTGGAAGGCGCTGCGCGCAGCCACGGCTTCGGAGAAGGGGCCCGTCGCACCTTCGACTCTCGACCGCCCGATCCTGGAGCCTCGAGCCTCGGGCGGCCCTCGGTCCTCGGCCCTCGAACTCTCGACCCTCGAGCACTCGAGCACTCGAGCCTCGGCCCTCTGTTCTTGAGCGTCACTCGTCGAGTCTCGGACACCCTCGGGACCCTCGGACCCCTCGGGATCTAAATCCCAGAAGCCGACCTGGATCGTCGATCGTCGGACCCTCGAACTCTCGGACCCTCGACGCCAGAGCTCTCGACCCCTCGACGCTCGAGCCCTCGACCCCTCGAATCTCGACCCCTCGACGCTCGAGCCCTCGACGCTCGAGCCCTCGAGCCCTCGAGCCCTCGACGCTCGACCCCTCGAACCTCGACCCCTCGACGCTCGAGTTCTCGACCCCTCGAGTCTCGACCCCTGGACTCTTGAGAAGCCCCCGCTGCCTTCTCGGGGGGCCGCCCCCCTCCCCCTCCCCCCCCCCCGCCGTCAGCCAGATTCAGGGGGCCTCCTAAGCCCCAGGGGAGGAGGAGGAGGAGGAGGAGGAGGAGGAGGAGGAGGAAGAGGAGGAGGAGGAGGAGGAGGAGGAGGAGGAGGAACCGGAAAAGAAGAGGGACGAGGAGGAAGACGAGGAGGAGGACGGAAGCGGGAGGAGGTCGCGGGAGGGGGAGGAGGAATGAGGAGGAGGGCGTGAAGGAGGAATAACGAATTCCAAGCGACCCCCCTGCAACTGCATTGGTGCCGCTCCCCAATCTGCGCGCCGCTTGAGTGCGGCCTACGTCTCCTCGTCCTCCTCGGGCAGCAGCTCGGGGAAATACAGCTTGTGAAAGATCTCGCCCTGCTTCAGGGCCTCGTGGGAGGGCTCAGGGCGACGAGCACATATCGCTGCAGGAGCAGACGAGAATGCGAGGACCTTGGGCGCTCACGCCGACACCTCTCGAGCGAAAGCGGCCAGAGACAATTGCAGATGAAGGGCCGAAGAGGCAATGATGAAAGGGCATCCTTGTAAAACTGCTCCTCTTTGTGGTACCGTCTGCCTGCATCCAGATTCGTGCTCTCGGCTCTCGCGGTCTGCATGCCTGGGCGCGGTCCCACGGATGCGCGATGCCGCCCGGGGCCTCTGCGCAAAGCCGTCCTGCCCGCGCGCGAAGGGTTGGGAGGTGGATGAGGAGGAGCTCGTGAACTCGCCACCGCTCGGACGTCCATTCCCTGTGTTTTTTGTTTCGGTTTCGTGCGTGGTTTCTTCGCCAAGTGATCGAGGATGCTCCTCGATGGCCCTCGCCGAAGGAAAAAGGCACACGTCCGAGCGATGCCGAGCTTGCGAACTCGCCACGCGCATGGCCTCGATGAACTTGCCCCACTCGTGCTCCGTATCCCCCTCCAGGACGTGCGCCTGGAACGCGTGGCGAAGGATCGCCATGAGGTCGTGATCCTTCCTCCCTTCTCCTCCTCCTCATTGCCTCCTCTTCCCTTCCTCCTCATTTGCCTCCTCCCCCTTCCTCCTCATTTGCCTCCTCCCCCTTCCTCCTGCCTCCGCTTATTTCCTGTCCCCTTCCTCCTCAGTTGCCTCCTCTTCCCTGCCTCCCTTCTCCTCCCGCTTCCCTTCCCCTTCCCTGGTGCCACGGCCACCTGACGCACGGGGAACCCTACCTGCCTCCACGCTTTGAGGCATCACGGAAACAACACGAACTCCCAGGCGGTCTGCCCCAATGGCGCCCGAGACGTCTGACTTTGTGCCCCCTGAGGGCGCCCTCCGCAATCCCCTTCTCCGCGGCTTCCTCGTCCCCTGTCGGCGCCTGGGAGAAAATGACCGATTCGGCAGCCGCGCCGAGATACCTCGATCCGTGCGAGCGCCAGGTTGGCGATGCAGCGTGCAACTTTGGGACGCTGCCCGAGGATCCGTGCAACCCCGCGAGATGTATAGTGCAGTGGGGCACATGTTTTTCAAGGGGTTCCCGTCCCACACGCGGCTGGGAAGAAGTGAGAACCCTGGGCCGGGAGGCCGGGAGTGTTTCACGTGGGCGGTGCTTGTCGCTTCCGTGCTCCAAGCGACGCCACGGCCCGTATCCACAGCTGCCTCCTGAGAATGGGGGGGGAAGCCACGTGGCGATAAAGCCGCGCGCTTCAAGACTTCCCCGTTCCCCTACCCGTGCCCTCTTCCTGGTTTTTCCGTTACGCAGACATTGGCTGGACGGCCGTTGCGTCTGAACGCCCCCAGAACGAAGACCCAAGAGAGCGTGCGACCACATCTATTCAGCCTGAGCGCAGTGCGCGCCCGCTGGTGCGAGGATGGGCGGAGAGAACAGGAACATGCATCGGCTGTGAGGGCATCGAGGTGGGAACAGCGGCAAGGTCACGACCCCCTTCTTCTTGTTCTTCTTCCTCCTCCTCCTTCTCCTCCTCCTCCTTCTCCTCCTCCTCCTTCTCCTCCTCCTCCTCCTCCTCCCTCTCTTCCTCCAGCCCGTCCTCCACAGTCCTGGATGGCCTCCAAATCGGGCTCGTTTGAGAAGACGTCCTCGATGGCTGCGAACGTGACGGTCTTCGGAGACCCCTTTGCAACCTCAAGCGTCAGCCTCTCAAGCTTCTCGCTGAGGCTGATGCACTCCTCCAGGTGCTGCAGGCGAAGGGTGTAGACGATCGGCGAGTGCACGTAAATGTCGTCCTGAAGCAGCCACCTGTAGTTCACGATCGTCTCTTGGCCTCCTGCGGGAAAGACGGTACTCAAGTCTTGCCACATCTCCTTTGTCTTGTTCGGAAGCACCTCCTGCAGGTCGTAGAAGAACCTCTGCTTCGGGATCATTTCGCTCGCATCCTCAGTCTCGAACTCCGTCGTGAATATGTGCAACAATTCTTTGCACATCCCCTTGTTGTCACGGATGACGGGAAGCAACAGAAAGGGAACACCTCTACCCCGCCCTTCCCCTTCAACGCCCCGTCATTCCTCGTTTCCCCCTGCCTCCCCTCCTGCCAGGACTCGGGTCGGATCAAAATGGGTCTAGTATTCAGTCGGGCGTGTCCCCCTACAGGGGGACTTTGGGCGAAAAATGAAAAATACTTCAAACATGTCCCCCAAATGGGCAAATCTAGTCAAAACGTCGTCCCCAGACTGTTTTTGGACTATTTTTGAATATTCCTTCTGTAGATGGACGTGCCCGACGTAAGTCTAGCAAAACAAGGGGTTTGCGACTCAGCTCAAGTCGCCGGTTCCTCCGGGCGCCTCCCAGGGAGACTGCCATAGGGCCCACGCGCCGAGGACAGCGCCTGGCGGCGGCGGCGGAAGCCAGCTGCACGCCCCAGATCTCGGCACCAGCCCCTGGCCATCGCTCGGACGTCCATTCCCTGTGCTTTTTTCGGTTTCGTGCGTGGCTTTTTCGCCAAATGATCGAGGATGCTCCTCGATGGTCCCCGCCGAAAGAAACATGCACACGTCCGAGCGTCTTGGAGGCCATTTTGAGCGTCTTGGAGACCTCTTGGGCCGTCTTGGGGGCCTCTTGGGGCCGTGTCTTGGGCCTCTTGGGCGATCTTTGGGGGCACTTGGGCCGTCTCGGGTTGTCGGAAGGCCGAAACGAAGCAAATGCTACAATCCTTCGAAAACCCATGCGACATACATGATTTTGGCCTTTTCGGGCCTTCCTGGAGGCCCTCTTGGAGGCCTGTTGGGCCGTCTTGGGCCATCTTAGTGCCATCTTCGGCCGTCTTGGTGGGCTCCTAGTCCGTCTGACGCCGTCGGAAGCCGTTTGGGGGGCCTCTCTGGGCCGTCTCGGGGCCGTCTTGGAATGCTCCAGGGCCGTCTTGGAGGCCCATCTTGGGCGTCTTAAAGGCCTCCTGTGCCGTCTTGGGGGCTTCTTGGGGCCGTCTTGGGGCCCTCTTGGGCCGTTCTGGGGCCATCTTGGAGGCCTCTTGGGCGATCTTTCGGCGATCTTCGGGGGCTCTTGGGCCGTCTCGGACCGTCGGAAGGCCGAAAAGAAGCAAATGTCAAAATCAGTCAAAAACCTAAGGACAATCAATGTTTTGGGCCTCTTCTGGCCTTCCTGGAGGCCCTTTTGGGTGCCTCTTGGGCCGTCTTGGGCCAGCTTCGAGCCAACTTCGGCCATCTATTCGGCGTTTCGACGTTGGGCGGAATTGGGGGGGGGGAGAGGGGGGTGGTCTGGATCTGGACCTCTGCTTCGTGCGCCTGTTTGCGGCAATGCGGCCGCTGGGGGAGGGACCCCCACCTGCCCGATGCAGGCGCCATCTGCTCCATGGGGGGGCGGGGGAGGGGGGTGCGAGGGCCCGCGCCGGTCGGCAAAGCAATGCATAAACGCAAGATCACCTGCCTGGGAGCTGCCCGGGAGCTCCGCGAGCGGTCCTGGGAGGAGCGCTCTTCTCGGGAGCCTGCGGGCACCCGCCCAGGAGCTGCCTGGGAGCTGTTGGGGTGCACGGTTTCCCCCCCGGGCCGTGGGCGACCCGAGGAGGAGGAGGTGGTGGAGGAGGAAGGAGGAGGAGGAGGAGGGGCAGGAGGAGGAGGAGGAGAAGGTGGAGGAGGGGGAGGAAGAAGAGGAGCAGGAGGAAAAGAAGAAGGAGGAGGAGGAGGAGGAGGAGCAGGAGGAGGAAGGAGGAGGAGGAGGAGGAGGACGGGTCGCCTAAGCCCTTCGGAGAAACCGTCCACTGCGGGATGGGGCGACAGGCGTGCCCGTTCGCTTCCCCGATGACGCTGTACGATATCTTGTTCTTGAGCAGCAGGCTGTAGGCAAGAAAGTCGGGCTCCGCAGAGTAGCGGCGCACGCCAGCCCATCCGCCACCGTGGCCCCCTCGGCACGCTGAGGCGTGCTAGGATGGTGAGCGTTCTGTTTTTTTCCGGCGCTTCTACATTGGGCTGAAAGGGGGGAGGGGGGGGGGGTCTGGCTCTGGACCTCTGCTAAGCGCGACTGCTTGCACCAGTGCGTCCATTCTGGGGGCGACTCCACTTGTTTGAAACAGGCACAGCCGAGATCTACTCCATGGGGGGGGGAGGGGGGGTGCGAGGACCCGCGCCGATCGGCAAAACGATGCATACAAAACGATCACATGCCAAGTGCTGTCTGGGTTGGGTTCCTATAACTTTCTGAGGGCCCCCACTCTCTCGGGAAGCACCCCGCTGCGTGCATCGTCACCTCTTCCCGAGGCCCTGCCCTGCCATGCCCCCCCCCCCCCCCCCCCCCCTGCAGAATGCGAGAGATGCTCGCTCTTGAGGCCCAGATACCTCCAGCATGGTCCGATCTCGTTCCAAGACGGGCCACTTGGCCTCAAGACGGCCTGAGATGGCCTCAAGACGGCCTAACAGGCCTTCGAGGCGTTCCAAGAGAGCCCCAAGAGCATGCCCAAGGGCCTCGAGAGGCACAAACCATTGATGTTCCTTTCGTGCTTTTGATATGTGTATTCGGGTTCTCGCGCTTTCGAGCTTCCGATGTCCCAGGTCGACCCAAGAGGCCACCAGGACTGCCCCAAGACGGCCCAAGAGGACCCCAAGACGGCCCTAAGACGGACCAAGAGGGCTGCAAGACGGCCCAAGACGCGCCCAAGAGGGCCCCCAGAAGGGCCCAAGAGGGTGAATACGACCCGACAAGTCAAGCCTTCTGCCCCAAGAGGACTCAGGAGGCCCAGGAGAGCCAAAAGAGGCTCCCAAGAGACCCCCAAGAGGCCGCCGAGAGGCAAACGCCAGTGCTTTTCTGTGGCTTTGTCAAAAGTTGTTTCGTCCTGGCCTGTTCGAATGTTTTGAGGCTCCACGACGCCCCCTCCTGGGCGGCCCACGATGGCTCCAAGACGGCCCAAGAGGCGACCAAGACTGCCCAAGAGGGTCCCAAGACGGCCCCAAGGAGGGCCCACGAGCGGGAATGCGAACCACGCATTCGAGCCTTCTGCCCCAAGAGGCCCCCGGTACGGTGGGGGCATTGGATCAGGAACCCTTAGATAGTAAATCCAGGGTCTGGAGGCCGGTGGAACTCCAATCGAGGCTTGGCCATGGATATCACCGCCGCCCTCATCAGATAAGGAATCCTCCAGGGTCTGCAGCATCCTGGGCGCACTCCTTAGCCAACGCCCCCACCGTAGGCCCCTTTGCCTCCTCGAACAAATGGCCGCCGGGAACGCTGCGCCGGCGCGGTGGCGGAATGGCCGGAGGCAGCCGGATATGTTTGCTGTGAAGACGCCGTGCTCGTTGGGCTCGCCGTCCTCGTGCCAGAGGGGGGGTGAAAAGGAGGCGAGGGGACAAAGGGTCACGAGCAGGGGGCGAGAAAAGGCCGCTCTAAAATATAGGAGAAACCCGCTGTCTCTCGAGGAAGCTATCCCGACGCTGACGGACCAGGGCGCTAGCACCAATCTGGGGCAGCACGGGAGACGTACCCACCAGCGGAGCGAGCGCATCACAGCGGCGCATCGCAACTGCGGAAGGGGGATGAAGATGAGGACTGGCAGGAGCGGACGGGAAGAGCTGTCAGAAAAGACTGCGCATCATTCCTTGGTTCATCACAATGGCGCCCTGGACGCTTTTGTTTGTTCGTGTGCTTACTTGCGTGCTTGCTTGCTTGTTGTTGCTGCTTTTGACGCGATTTGCTACTTTGGGCTCTTGACAAACCAAGCTGCAAACGCTAGAAACAAATCGTATTGATAAGTGTGCTTGCTCAGCATGACTATATGTGTAGGATTTTCTTTCGTCCTGACGTGTAGAGTTGTGGCGGGGGCTCTTAGCGTGTTCGCTGTTCTTGTTGATGCCAGACAACTCTAAAACATGATTTCCAAGACGCCGAGTCGAACACGAAGGAAAAACGCCCAAGGCATATTCAAAATGAACCATGTATTAGACATCGCCCTGGGCGCTGCCGTGACGGCGGCACCCGCGGGCCATTCCTTCGTTGTAGTCCTACATCAGCCATTGGGCTCCCACACCTCCGACGTCGCTGTGTCGTTCACAATGGGGACCCCCGAAGTCTGGGCCTCTCAAGTGGGGTGAACTTCTCATCCCGATCGACATGCTGTTGACGGCCCTGGGGGTCCCGGCGAGGGTCTCCCTCAGCCCGAAAGTGATACTTACTTCGACGGTAAGACCCCGCATGAGGATCTGCAAAGCTAACCTGGAAGTAATCCTCATCGTCCCCCTGGCGCCTGCGAAAGCTCTCTCTCTCTCTCTTTCTCTCTTTCTCTCTCTCTCTGTCTCCTCATCGCAATTCTCCCTTTCGCCCTGGCGGAGCTCCTCCTCCCGCCCCTTGCTCTGCCGCGTCGTCCTCCTGACATGTCTCCCCAATCCACCTGCTCCCCGATCCTTTTGCAAGGGCGCGCGTATCGATTTTCCTTGGCGCCGTCGCCGCCTCGGCGTGCAGTGGCGCGTCCTCCGATGTCCAGATCGCGGAACCGTTAGGATTCCGATGGCCGCCTCGGATTGCGAACTTGACATGCGGGCTCCATAAGGAAGGGGCTCCTGCTCGAGTCTTCCTCCCTACCCGAGTCTTTCTAGCAATCCCGCCAGCCCTCTGGGCGTATGTGGTCTAGCGCGTTTCCTGTTCTAGGTCCTCCCTCCCCCTAGTCGGGAGGTTCACTACCCCAACCCCCCTCCCTGGGTCTGGACGAGGGGGGTGGGGCGCGAGAGGTTAGAGCGCCCAAGACGGCCCAACATGGTATCACCCAAGCTAGCCCAAGATGGCCTCCAAGATGGCTCAAGATAGCCGCACATGGTTCAAGGCAGCCTCCGACATTTATACCTCCAGGAGGCTCCAAGAGACCCCGAAGGCGGGTAGAGGTGCTCTCGGAGCCCTCCGAGGACCCTCCCCAAGAGGTCAACATCTGTCTAACACCTCAGGAACCTCACTGTTTTTGCCTCTTCTCCTTTATGCTTCCGATGTACCTTGAGGCCCCAAGATGATCCCAGGACGGCCCACGAGAGCTCCAACATGGCAACAAGAGGCCCCCACGAAGGCCCCAAGAGGGCCCACAAGGAGCCCTAGAGCGCCCCAAGAGGGCCCCCAGAGGCGGTGTGTCAGCATCCAAGGGGGGTGTCGAACACAGCCCGAAGGGGCCCTAAGACACCCCAAGGAGCCCAAAGAGGCCCCCAAGACGGCTCCAAGTGGGCCAAAAGCCCTGACAACCGTGCCAAAATGGCTCCCAAATGGCTCCAAGAGACTCGCGGGACGAAAGATCCGCGACGACTTGACGGGCCCGCTCAGGCTGACCAAGGCTTCGGTTTGACTGCTTCCCTAGCTCTTTGTCCCACTGCATGCTGCCCCCTTCCCCTGACCAAGGAAAGTCGCGTAGGCCTCGTTGCGATGGTGATGATTGTTCACGATCGTGTCGGGGTGATGATGGTAACGATGGTGATGGTGACGGGATGATGGTGACGATGATCATGGCGATGATGATGGTGATGGTGATGCGTATGAAAGGAGAAGAGGGTGTATTCTTCTGGCTCCTGCAGGGGTGATGATCAAACAAGATCCCGACTTAAGACGTGGGGAACAACAACTCGACTTAGGAAGCTGGGGGCAATGTTGACGATGAGGATGAGGATGCTGATGGTCAGTCATGGTGTGATGGCGATCGTGGGTGTGAACGGGGGCGAGGAGGAAAGGGTGAGGTCCTTTCCTGCGAGGGCGTGTCCAAAGAACACAAGAACACACACACTTAGGATCTGGGGGCTAAAAGCTCTCGCCGTGATTTTCCACGACGCGAGAAGTATCGAGCTTGCTGTCCGGCAGGTGCGTGGACATGAACTTCGCGAAGGGCTCCAAGCTGTGCGGGCTGTACTTTTGCTTCCTGGGGGGAACGAGGAGGAAGGGGCTGGCTCGAAGGGGGAGCGCTGACCTGGAATCAGTCTTACATCGCCAGCAGATCGGCGACAAGCCCTCGATCGTGAAACCGACCGTTCCTGGGCGGTGTGGGGCCCCCTGGGCCCCCACTGGCGATGAATACGCGATCGGGGGTCGATGCTATCCTCCCTCCGGAAAGACAACCCCCCTTCACCCCTTCAGGAGACACCCCTGAGGGAGCGTTCTGGTGGGAAGACAAAGATTCTGATTCCCCTAACTCTCCCGAAAAAAAAAACTGACTTTTTGTTTTTTTGTGTGTTTCTTTTGTGTTTTTTTTTATTTTTTTGTGACTCTCAAATCTCTGGCGTGTGTGTGTGTGTGTGTGTTTTTTTGGGGGGGTAGTTTTTCTTTTGTGTGTGTGTGTGTTTTCTGTGTTTTTATGTTTTGTTTTTTGTTCCCCTTGGGGGGGGGGATCGGGGGAAACCCCTGGGCCAATCCCCCCTGTCGCTGCCACTGCTTCCTCCGGCGGCTGTTTGACGTGATCGGGGCAGCCACTGGCTTTCGGGTCCTAGCTCGGCTCTCCGCCGTCCGGCACGACCAGGGCACCCCAGGAGGCCCGTCGGCGAGGCGCAGCTGCTGGAGAGCTTCCCGAGGCACCCTCCTGCTCCTCCTCCTCCTCCTCCTCCTCGTCCTCCTCCTCCTCGTCCTCGTCCTCCTCCTCCTCCTCCTCCTCCTCCTCCTCCTCCTCCTCCTCCTCCTCCTCCTCCCCCTCCTCCTCGTCTGGAAAGCCGCCGACGATGGACCAAAGCGCCCGAAAACCTCGAGCCTCGGACACGTTCCCTACTAACGTCTCCCCCAGGCGTTGCCATTGCTTCCTCTCGAGCAGCCCTTCGATGAAGTCCATCACCTTCTTGCGGCTGAAGAACAGGTTCGGCACAGTCTCGCTCGGCCTCAGCTCCTCGGGCGCGTCCTCCGAGGATTGTCCAACAGCTTTGGTGTTATCGAACCGACGCCGAGCATGGCATATCGAGCCTCGTCCTCCTCCCTCCTCCTCGTCCTCCTCCTCCCTCCTCTTCCCGACTGGCTTATTACAGTGCGTATAGGAACTCGGCCGGGCCGTGGGAAAATCGCAAACGGCAAAGGCGGGCGAAGGGAATTCCCGAACCTGTGACCGTTTTGTGAAGAAAAAACTTTGTTGTACCAACGAACATAGCGACAATCGCAGGTAGTCCAGAAACTCTCCCGCATCTTCCATCAAAACATTGGCATGAAGTGTACCGGAGTGGACTGAAATATACTCGACCTTAGTAGACTGAACTGGACTGGGGTGGACTCCGCTGCGCACGATTCTACTCTACCCTACCCTACCCCATTCTACTCTACTCTAATCCACTCTACTCCGCTCTTTTCTGCTCTACCCTTCTCTACTCTACCAGGCTCGATTCTACTATCTGCCCAACACTACTCTTCTCTGGCGTGCTCTGCTCCACCCTCCCCTTCCCTATCCTACCCTCCCCTGCTCTGTTCTACTCTACTCTGCTCGAAGCTGCTCTCCGTAGCCATTTTGGCTCACGCCGCTCCTCCCTTGTCGCTCTCAGTCTGGGCCCCGCGGGTGCAGATTGTTTCCTCCCCCAGCGAACACAAGCACACGATGCCCGTCCATGGGCAAGACCAGTTCGACGGAGCGCCAAATCCGCTTCCCCTCGAGGGGGCTCTAACCGCGCTCGCATGTGACTCGACAGCGGCAGGGCTGTAAATGGGCTGGCCGGGTTAACGTCACCACATTCAGGGAGGACGGGGAGAAGGACGAGCGTGGGAGCATGGCTGCGATCGGCTTCCGGGCCGCCCTCGCGGCGGCCACGGAGCCCGCGCGGCATGGCGAGGGGCGCACCTCCGCGTGGCCGGCGCTGGCAGGGCCCGTCGGGAGGCGGCGCGCCCGGCGGAGCGCGGACGACTCCAGGCCTCCTTCGGGCCGCTTGCGAGCCTGGAGGAGGAGGAGGAGGAGGAGGAGCGCCACTGCCAAAGGGAGGAGGAGGAGGAGGAGGAGGAGGAGGAGGAGGAGGAGGAGGAGGAGGAGGGAGGAGGGGAGGAGGAGGAGGAGGAGGAGGAGGAGGAGGGAGGAGGAGGAGGAGGAGGAGGAGGAGGAGGAGGAGGAGGGAGGAAGAGGAGGAGGAGGAGGAGGAGGAGGAGGAGGAGGAGGAGGAGGAGGAGGAGGAGGAGGAGGAGGAGGGAGGAGCTCGCGCTGGCCAATGGAGCGGTTGCGACGCCGCTGCAGTGCGGGCGGTGCAGCTGGCCGCCGACGACGGGCCCCTCGGCCGGGCGCCCAGCGAGGTGCCGGCCGTGCCCGTGCCACGAGGGCGCCCTCGCTGCCGCGCAGGGCCCGCTCGGCACCGAGGAGGCCATGCCCCGGCCGCGGGCGCCATCGGCCAGCCCCACGGCAGCGGCGGCGGCGCCCTGCCCACCGTCGGGTTCGGCAGAGGCAGCTGCGCCAGCGCCTGTGGCGAGGCTCCCTGCGGTGGGCCTCGGCGCAGGGCGCCTGCGAAGCCCGACGGCACCGCCAGGCGCAACGCGGGGGGGTGCGCTGTCGTTCGAGGCGGGGGGTCAGCATCGCGGGCATGCAGATGGCCTCCCTCAATTGCCTGCAGGGGTCCGCACATCGGGAGCGTGACCGCCAAGGAGGATAACCTCGGCGCGTTCGAAATGCCGGTGCACGCGATCTTGCGGCTCTTTCTCTTCTTCACCCTGCTGCAGCTGGTCTTTAATCCGTCGGGCAGCGGCCAGGCGTGCGGAAGCCGCCGACGGCGGCGTTCGCGCCCCACCGCCGCGTGTCCGCCGCGCGCGCTGCTAGCGATGCGGCGCCTTGCCACTGGGCCTTGGCGCACCGTCGGGAACCGAGCGGGCCAGCGGGGGTTCGCTTTCGTCTACCCGAGCGCGTCCACACCGCTGAGGAGGGAGGTCAAGGGTCTCCAGCAGGCTCTAGGAGCGAAGTGGTGGACGGCGGCCTCCGAGGCCGTCGGGCGATATATGCGTCGAGCATGAGCCGGCCCTGGTGCCTTCAGTGGACCCCGAGCCCGACGCCCACCCCGACGATGAGCAGCGGCCCCTCGGCGGCAACCTGGATGTCGGCGACGGTGCGGACGGCTCCGAGGAGCTGGACGACGTCGCGCAGCCAGCGGGTGCCGTGCCTGGGCCTCTTCGGGGGATGGCTGTCCTTCAGGCGACGTGTCGTGCCGTGGCCCGCTGAGCCGAGGCAGGGGCTGACACCGACGACGGCCAGGAGATGCGGGACTCCATCGGCGCGGGCCCCTGGTGGCTGCAGGTGCTGGGGCCGCGGGCCTGCCCAACCTCGCGGACGTCTCGATGGCGCCCACGGCACCGCGCAGGCTGCGAGCGCTGCAGCGGCACGTGGCGGCGAGCCAGTCCGCAGTTGCCGACGATCGCGACGCTTGGAGGCCTGGGTGGCAAGCTGCGGAGACTGGGCGGGCTCGCTAGCCCCACCCACGGCGGACGAACAGCGAACTGGACAGGCCTGGCTCCGCGAGACCCTCGAGGCCAGGCTCTCCGACGGCTGTGGGGACACAGACTCGCGGTGCTTACATGAGCCACGTGCGCGATGCTACCATCATCGAACTCCGAGCGGAGCTAGCTGAGCTCAGGGCCGCCAACAGACGCGAGCTGAAGGCGAACCTCAACAAGAAACGCGTTAGGAGGTGATGGTGACAATTGCCGTCCGATTACCGTGAGAATCTTCAGTGTGTGATCTGCGGCTCGGTCCGAGGCCTGCAGACTTCACAGCGCCGCCCCCCGAGGGCCTGGAGCTGGGGGCTTGGGAGCGCTTCCCGGGGCGACACTTTCTCCCCTGTCAGGGGGGGTAGCAACAGTTTCCTGCATCGCCCCCCAAGTGCTCCAACCGACCTCGCGCAGCCATGTGTCATGCCGCGGAGTCTCCTGAGAAGTCCCCCCTGACCCCCGCGACCAGGACCGTCTTTGCGAGGGCAGCCGTGCCCCGCGCACGCGCCGCCAACGCCGCCCGTCCGGGCCCAGAGCGCCTCCGCGCCCCTGTGAAGCGCTCGGGCGCGCCGCGAAATCGAGAGGACCGGTCTCGGGGGCATTCGGTCACAATGCTTCTGCTGGCCGCCCCCCATCTGGACGAAGACACCCCAACAGATCACGAAGCCGGTCCGCGGGCCCAGGGCAAGGGGGGCAAACAGATCACCCGCGGGTCACGGAGTTGGGGCGAGCACGACCACCGACTGGCCTGGATCGGGGGGGCCGTAAATGTCACCCGCAGAAGAGAAGACACTTGTCGGACCAATGAGGTCGACAGCTCAAGATCGCCTGGCCACGAGAAGGCGTGTACAGGTTGGCGCGGGAGCTAACCTGCTCACATGCCAGGAGCGCGGGCCGACTTCGACGCACCTGAGGGAGGTGCGAGTAAAACAGTGCTAAAATCGGGTATAAATCGCTCCAGAGCGTCCCGGAGCGCTCTCAGAGCGCTCCGGAACGCTCTGGAGCGGCCGCGGCGCCCAATACATCCTCCAAACCCGCCGATTCTCAGAGATTTCGATGTATCCCGATCCGACTTTGTCCCGATCTTCGCGTCGTCTTAGCGGGGTTGGGCCGAAAACCAGCCGCAGCTAGAGGGCCGGACGCCCCGCCTGCAGCTATGGCCGGCCGCAGCCAGGTTGCCGGGCGCTCCGCCCCGGGCATGAACGAAAGTGAGTCGCCCACAGCAAGGCTTAGGTCGAGCATGTCCTCCTACAGGCAGGTTTTGGACGGAGAAGCCAAAAAAAACATGCCCAAAGATGCCCAGCACTTGTCAAACATGCTAGAAGCATCGTCCCCAGCCTATTTGTTTGACTATTCTTGGCTGTTCCTCCTGTAGATGTGGACGCCCGAAATGGGTACGGACAAAAATGGGTACAATGCCCAACAGCACATGTTGTTCCAAGCCAACAGAGGCCGCTGTTGGGTAGTCGGCCTTCTGTCTCAAACGGACACAGCCGCGGCGGCGCGACCAGCGAGTCATGCTCAAAATGCACAAGAACTGCTGTTGGGCATTGTACCCATTCTTTCCGTACCCGTATCGTGCGTGCCGAGTATCGGGTCGGGCGAAAGGGGGGGATAGCAAAGGGAGGGTTTGAGAATCAGCTCACGTAGCTGATTGTCCCGGCGCCTCCTGGCGCCGGAGGCGACCGTGTATCGAGGAATGGGCCCCTCGGTGGGGCCGAGACCAGCTGCATGCAGCAAATTTCGTAACCCCCCCTTTCCCAATCCCCCCCTTTCGCCCGGCCCGAGAGTAGAGGGGCGTGCCCGACCAAAAGCTGGGTGGCCAGAGCCCCCTACCAATAGGCAACAAACACGCCTGCGAGCCCGAGGAGGGTGGCGCACAGGACGCGGCCGCCGGCCCGGCGGCCCGCCCCGGGCCCCGAGGCGGCCCGAGAAAAGGGGCCAGAGACGGCCCGAAAGGGGCCCAAGACAGGGCTCGAGTGTCTTTTTTTGTTTTTGACAAAAAAAAAAAAGTTCACGCTGAGTTATTTAGGTTTCCTGTCGAGAGAGGGCTCGAGTGAAGCTTTGCTTTCCGTTTTCGTTTTGTTTTCGTCATCCCTAGTTCTGTCTTCGTTCCGCATTTGCTGCAGAACGAAATCAAAACGAAAGCGGTCCACGAGACGGCCCGAAAAAGGGCCCGAAGGGGCCCCGAGACTGCCCGAAAAAGGGCCCAAGACGGCCCGAAAGGGCCCAGGAGGACCTACCTTTCTTTAAGTCGGGCCTGTCCCCCCTACAAAGGGATCTTCGACAGAAACTAGAAAATGCCCCAAAAAATAATCAAACAATTGCCGAAAATAATCTGGGGACTATTCCCCAATCAGAGCTTGCCTCTGTAGGGGTCCTAGCGGATTAAAAGGTTCGGTGAGGTGCGTCGCCGATTTCGGTGGCCGGGCCCGGGTGCCCGGGTGCCCGGGTGCCCGGCGGTGCCCGGGTGCCCGGGTGCCCGGTGAGGTGAGTGGCCGATTTCGGTGGCTGGGCCCGGGTGCCCGGGTGCCCGGGTGCCCGGGGGGTGCCCGGGGGAGCCCAATAGCCCAATAGCCCAGTAGCCCTATAGCCCTATAGCCCTATAGCCGTATAGCCCTGTAGCCCTGTAGCCCTATAGCCTTATATCCCTGTAGCCCTAATAGCCTTATATCCCTATAGCCCCACAGCCCATATAGCTCTATAGCCCCATAGCCCTATAGCCCTGTGGCCCTATAGGTCACAGTCCTAAAGCCCTATAGCCCTATAGCCCGATAGCCCTATAGCCCTATAGCCCTATAGCCCTATAGCCCTATAGCCCGATAGCCCTATAGCCCTATAGCCCGCCGTATAGCACGATAGCCCTATAGTCCTATAGCCCGAGAGCCCTATAGCCCGATAGCCCTACAGCCCGATAGCCTATTGGTGCCTGCCGCTCCGGCCGATTCAAAGGGCGCAATTGGAAGATTGAAAAAGCTGGATTGGGTTTTTTCTCCGGTATCTTTTTTTGAGTATGTCTTTTTTTGATTATTTTTAAAATATGTTTTATTTTTCGTCGAAGATCCCCTGTAGGGGGACAAGCCCGACATAAACCTACTTCAGCTCGGCCTCTGGGGGCAGCCCTCAGGCGCTCCAGGGAGGGGGGTCCAGCGCGGATCCAAGAAATT